TTTTTTTTTGCAGCTAAATCGACAGCGATAGTGCTGTCTGGATGTCGCACTCCATCAGACGACCAGCCATATTACTGCGTATGTCCGTTTTTAAAAGATCCAATTCGTAAGATGAGTAACACTACCCTTACCCCAACGCCTGTTTCTGGTGATGGAGGACTAAGTGGAGGTGCAGTTGCCGGTATTGTTATTGGATGTGTAAGTAATTAAAGCTCTTCTCTTGACAGAATAAATTGAACTGCAGGCTCAATAAACAGTGAAACTTTTGTGTAAGGTTGAAAAACGATTTTACAGAACTCTGTGAACATATTTATTGCAATCACTTAGACGCATTGTCAAACTGCATGTTAAGTAGTAATAAAAGATGATCCAAAAATATTTTTGAGCAGTTTTTTTGTTTAAGGTTATTGGAAAGCTGAAAAAATAACTTATGATAACAACATTTTTTACAGTTGATTTAAAGCATATATCTCAAATTGAATTTGAATGCGTCATATTCACTGTTGTTTATAAGTGGTTATGATTGACTTTTTTTTTCTAGCTGTTAGGTGTTGCCATATTGTTGGTGGTAGGATTTATTGTATTCAGAAAACTACGAGAACGAAAACGTAATCATGGTGTGTATCGGCCACAATATGAAGAAACTCTTCAAGCCAAAGATTTGCCTTATTTACCGCCTCCAAATATTGAAGGCCTTATTTGAAGCTGTATTCCTTGTTTTTTAAAATCGTTTCTGCGATATCTTTCAACACTGTGATATATCTCTGTATGAGTTTGTTTCACTTTATTTTCAATCGTTACAGTAGGGAAAAAAAGATTTTTTAGAATAACAGACGAAAAAAAAAAACAAAAACGAAAAATAAGATTTTTGGTTATCTCTCAATTTTTTTGTTGTTTAAAGTTATAAATGTTTTCAAGAATTTAATAAATTTTTCTGTACTAACTGAGTTTTAATGGTCTAAGGATAATCTACGTGTTTTTTTTTGGGTAATGCCTTCTTTTTGAAGAAAGTTAATTACCTGAACTCAGATATATTACCGCAAAAAGCGTTAAAATATCAATGATAGAAAATATTTGAATTTGATTCAGAAAAACCAGGTTATGTCAATGACTTTTGTAAAAGTAAAGGAGTATTGCAGATGTTAATTGAACAACTTAGATTATGCTACATTGATTTTCTGTAAGTTAAACTGTTTATAAACTGTTCCTCTAATGTAGTATAATGTATCGTTACAAGTTTTTCTGTGTTACTTTTCTTTTGTTTCATTTTATTAAAATTTGTGTATACTTCTAAAAAAGACCGATAAAAATTTTTTTTATCAGTGTAACACATAAATAGGATCTGTGCTTTTTAGAGTCAACTCCTATTTTCTACTGCCAACGACGGTTTCACATAAAGTCAAAGTTATTCATCTAAACTTAAAGTTGCTCAAGTAATTTGTACAGCGGGGTACGCCAAACGAAGAATGTAACTATACTGCTTTATTCTGTATAAATTGTCCTCCAGTTCAAGAAGTTTTCTTCTTCTACAAAAACAGAATAA